GTGTTGGGGGCCTCTGTTATGTAAAGTAGAAGTCTCTTCATATCCGGATAGTTCACGAGCTCGGAACCATATGCTGGGTCTCCTTTCATAGCAGGGTGCGTTCCTGGCATTTTTCCTGACTCTCCTTTTGAAGTGCCTGCCACAAATGCCCTAACATAAACATGGCCTCTGGCTCTAGGAATACCATGCTTTCCTGTGTGATTTTTCAGGTAGTCAGCGGTCTGGCAGCATGGCAGAAACCCACTTCCATATGCAAATAGAATGTCTCACAAAGTATCTATCAGCCAAAGCTTTTACCACTACCCCCATGGTATAAATATCCTAGTCTTCTCTAAATAATTTGGAGCTAGAAGCGGCGCTGGAACTAGAGCAGGAACTGGGTCACTGAGACTTGGAATAAAGAGCTGTCTGTGACATGGACTAAACAGAGCCCAGCGTCTTACTGGCAATCCAGCCTCTCCGGAGGCAGTATTCCTCCGTCACCGACTCGTGGATCCCAGCTTCAGCCGCCTCGTACTTTCCCGTGTGTTCTAGCGGCCGGTGGAACTCACATATTGAGGAAAGTACACTGGTGAAATCAGGGCGGAGACACAGCTGGACAACGCTCCAGCAGCAGAGACCCACAGAGACACTGAGAAGCCCGCGGGGCCAGACCCGCCTTCTTCCAGGGGCTAGCCGAGACCAGGAGACAGACGCCCAGCGGAACCCGCCACCGCTTCCAGGAGACGCAGAGCCGGGGCGCATGGCGGGAAAGCCCACGCGACCAGAGAAGCAGACACCTGTGGCCAGGCCCGCCGGGACTCTCCAGGTGTGCCGGTGCACATCACGCCGGGGCGCCCAGCGCACACCATACGTGAGTGCACCCATGTCGTGCAATGCCTCAGAGGTCAGAAGCGGGCTTCGGATTCCCCTGGAACTGGAGTTAAGGATGGTTCGTAGCCCCCAGGTGGGTGCTAGGAACTGAACCCGGGTCCTCTGCAAGAGCAGTCAGTGCTCTTAACTGCTGAGCCATCTTTCCAGTGCCGAAGAAGCTGGATTTCCTCCCCCTCCCCGTCCCCCTCTCCCTCCTCCTCCTCCTTTTTTTGGTCTTTTTTGAGACAGGTGTAGCCCCAGTTGTCCTGAAACTCACTATGTAGACCAGGCTGGCCTTGAACGCACAGAGATCTCCATCTGCCTACCTCTGCCTTCCCAGCGCTGGGATTAAAGGTGTGTGCCACCACACCCAGCTCCTAATTCATTTTTAAATTTACTTTGTAGGTAGTTCTTTCTTTAACGCTTTATATTTACAATGATATGAATTGTATATGTGAAAAATATTTGATAAACACATTTATATTCCAAAGTCTTTTATCACATTTGTTTATTTTTAATTAGTTCTTTGATAATATTATATTTTGATCATATTCACCCCCTCTCCCAACTCCTCTCAGGTCCTTCCTGCCCCCTTTCTCTACTCACTTAACTTTGTGTCCTTTTTTAAAAAAAAAAACAGTAACAACAACAAAACCCCATTGAGTTCAATTTATGTTGCCCATACACTCTTGGGTATATGGTCATCCACTGGGGTATGGTTACCTACCAGGGGGCACACTCTTAAACAGACTCTCCCTCTCCCAGCAGCTATCAACTGTCAATAGCTCCTCAGCTAGGAGTGGAACACTGTGCCCACCTCCATGGGCCCTCACTAATTTCCTGACCTCTATGAGTATTCCAAATGAAACACACAAAGATTCAAAGCTAACATCTACAAATTAGAGAAAACATCAGATTTGTCTTTTCTGGGTCTCTCTCTCTCTCTCTCTCTCTCTCTCTCTATCTCTCTCTCTCTCTTATCTAAAAATAATTTTGAGTGAAAATGTAACATATA